GGGACACGACTGGCTGCTGAAACCAGGTGGCCTGGGGCTGAGTGACTCAGCTTTGGGAGGGGAAGGGAGAGTCGCTGGGGGCTGGAAAGAGCTGCTTTCAGCTGGCGGGGTTGAGAGGTTGGCTGGGGTGGCCCCAGAGATCAGGCCTCTTCTGGGCGGAAGTGAGAGCAGAGGCCAAGAGACGTGAGGGGCTGGGGGGAGACAGTTCTGTCCACGTGCCCTGGAGCCCCAGGCCAGCCCAAGGCCTCGGCGTGCCCACTGGGTGCTAGCTGACCCTCCCCACGAGGTTAGCGTGACTAACCTCGGGCTCTAGGCAGTTGCTTCTTGCTCTCCTGGTTCACCTTGCCTTCTAGTACGTCGAGTTTTCTACCTCAGTAGATGACACATTTAAAAGAGAATGACCACACTGTAATTATTCTTGCGTCTCTCTCCCTATAGCGGCTGGCCGGGATATAAACATAGCGCCCTTGAATGAATGAATGAGTGAATGATGAGAATGAGGTGAGGAGATGAATGTGCATACACACGCGTGTGCGTGCCTGTATGTGTGCGTGTGTGTTGAAGGTGGTTTCTGCTGAAGGACGGAAAGACAAAGATGAGCGAGGAGGTGGGGCGTGGAGAACAGACCCTGGGCCAGGAGAAGTGAGTGATGATGACGCCTACAGACAGTGATTGTGCGCCCACTGCCCGTCAGGCGTATCAACCGCGTGGCTCACGTGTAACACTCAGAACCATTCTCCGAGCCTGGCACCAGCGCTGTACTTGTTTTATAGGTGATGAAGCTGGCTCTCAGAGAAGGAGGTGGCTGGGCCAGAATCCCACGTGGGCTGAGCAGGGAGCCCAGGACCTAAGCAGGTCGGCCGCCCGGGGAGCCCGAGCTTGAGCCGTGAAACCAGCCTCCCTGTTGTGCTCCCCGCGGCCCCTGCACTGCTCTATTGAGGTGTTTTGTAAACTCTTTTTTTTCTTTTCATAAACTGTTTGAAGTTACTTGTTTATTAACTGACTTCACTGGGAGACTGTAAGCTCCAGGAGGGCAGGGACCACACGGATTTTCTATCCTTTAGCTTCATCCCTTGCTCCTGGACCAGTGCCTGCCACGTGGTCCGCACTTATCAGTACGTGCTCACGACTCACCCACAGACGCCCCGCCTCTGAAAAGAAACAACCCCAGGAGCCCCCAAGCCCCTCCTCAGCCCACCTGCTTGCCTCTGCCCTCCAGTCCCACCAGCCAGCCCCAGCTCCTCCTGAAGCGGGACCAGCCGGCGATCAACGCCAGGGCCCAGTTTTTCTCCCAGACCATCCCTGGCGTCAGCAAGTGCCGATGGGTGACTGCCTCTCTCTGGCTAAGGGTGGACCGACGCCAGGAAAGATCGGAGGCGCTACGCAGTGGGTTACAGCAGGGCTTCTAGAGGGATTTTGTGGCAGGAGATTGAATGTCCCTGCGCCTTGTGCAGGGCAGCAGGAGGGATGAGCAGTGAAAGCCCTTTTGCGAAACCTGCCAGACCCATTGCAATAGGTCTCTCCCAATAGCCCAGAGTTATATTTCCCCGGATTTACACATGGTGGGTTCCTGCTGCCCCTCCTGATGCCCCCACGGGAGGTGCCCCAGCAGAGGAAGGAGCCGACGGGACGGAAGGAGGTGGGAACCCTCTTCCCAAGAGCTCGTGGAGGCCGACAGCCCTGTCGGAGTTCCCTGACTACTGCACCTCACACTTTCTTGCCCAAACGGCCTGTCAGTTTTCAGTCTAGGAACACAGTGAGGATTTATTTTCTCTCTCTCTCTCTCTCTCTCTCTCTCTCTCTCTCTCTGTCTCTTGCAAGAAGTGGCCACGGCAGGCGGGGGCCTCTGATGCTGGGCCCTCCTTGGCAGGAGAGAACGGGTGGGTGGCTCGGGGCTTCTGGAATCGAGTTCCTTCCTGGGGCTGTGGACACTGGGGAGTCCCCAGCACACTACCAAATACAGTAGAAAGGAGTTAGTGGAGCACGTGCTGACCACAGCGCCGTCCACCCCGGGTGGAGGTGTCACGTGTGCACTTGAACAGGGCAGGCCTGGGGCTGGCCGCTCATGAAGCCCGCGTCCTGTGTGCTTGCTTTTCTGGCTCTCCGTGGCTCTCGCCTGCTTCTGCCAGCCTCCGCATTTTTGTATTATATCTTTTTCTCATTGCGTGGCCCCCTTGTCTTTAAAAGGCTAAATGCTCTGTGCTAAATTTGGTCACACAGCGCTCCAAGATTCCCTGGAATGTCCTCAAGTTTCAAACAGCTCTGACAGCGAGGCAGGCCCGCCCCCGCCCGGGGATTGGCCTTTCCTTTCAGGGCCGGGCCGTCATGGGGCCTTATTGGCTGCTGGCTGGACCAGCCCGGGTCCACTAGCCCTGGGACTGGGGAGGCTGCTGCCCCCGTTCACACTTGGGCACCTGCAGCAGGCAGGGCAGGGGAGCCGAGGTCCTCGACCAGCGGGGGTCTGCTCCGTCCAGATTGGCTCGCACCCCGTCCCGGCCCACCAGGACCTGCCCGCAGCCCTCGCGAGAGCAGCAGCCCACTTTGCCAAGATGTCCAAGGTAGCCAAGTATCGCCGGCAGGTGAGCGAGGACCCCGACATCGACAGCCTGCTGTCCACCCTGTCTCCTGAGGAGATGGCGGAGCTGGAGAAGGAGCTGGACGTGGTGGACCCAGATGGGAGCGTCCCCGTGGGGCTGCGCCAGAGGAACCAGACGGAGAAGCCATCCACGGGCGCGTACAACCGGGAAGCCATGCTCAACTTCTGTGAAAAGGAGACCAAGAAACTTATCCAGAGGGAGATGTCCATAGAGGGGAGTGGGGCGGGGGGGGGCGGGAGGGGGGACCCCGACGCCACGATGAGGGTGCTCTTTCCTTAGAAGAAGGGCTCTCGCTGGCAAAGGATTTAATGTTTCAGACCCGATTGTCATCCCCTGAACTGGCCGTGTGAGCCCCTTACCCCTATTTGCTGTCTCATGAAGCAGAGGTCGGATGTGTTGGGGGGACCTGCACCCACGTATCACGCGGGGCTGCTAGCAACTTGGGAGCTGGAGGGGATGCCCTTGGGGTGGTCACTGTCGGGTTGACTCCACCCGGACGCCCACACCTGGCTTTTTTCCTTCCCATTCATCCCACCCTCCTGGCAGGAAGAGAGACTGGGCTTGCAGTCCAGCCCTTGTGGAGAACAGCTGGCTTTCAAGGCCTCTGGGCATCTCGTGGCATGTGGACCGTGTGAGGCAGCTGGTCAGATGGGCTTCCCAGGGCAGTGGAGACAGGCCAGGGTCTGCGCCTTCACCCACAGCTTCCGTCCGTCTCATTCCCAGGGGAGCTGGGGTCTGCACTTTCTGGAGGAGCCTCTTGAGGGAGCAGCCCCCCTTTTGGGGGTAAGGCCCCTTGACTGGGGGATGAAGCTCTTTCCCAGCCACCGGGTATTTTGCCACCAGGAGGGGACAGAGGAGGGGCAGGGGTGACCGCTGGGGAAGCGTCTGCGCACATCTAGGATGGGCTTAAGTAAAGCGGCTTTCTGGGTTTTTCCCGGGTTTCTGCCGTGCGCTCATATGTGGGTTTTCTTGGGACAAAGGAGCCTGGCCTCGGCCGGAGGACGACTTCGCAGACACCCTTCCTCCAGGTCAGGGGTGTCTGCTGGGGAGACTGTTCTGCTGTGTGCCGCCAACCCCCC